TAAGAACTACTTTTGTGCATTAGAATAGCGGCTACTGGAACTAGACGTATCTAGATTGTACTCCATTTACTCTGCTCCTAATGCAGAACTGCTGATACTCTTTAGAACCCCAGAAGTAAGAATGTCTTCTCTTTATTGACCTCAGAATTTCACACCATCATTCCTCTCACCCCAACACCCTCCGCCCTGCCTGCCCTTGCACGGGGCCAGTGGGATGAACTGTGACAGAGAATAGACCAGATGACAAGATGAACAATCGAACGTGTCAAGGATTCAGTCCTTGCCCGGTTTTGCCAGCTTCTATGAAGAGACGGTAGTTGGACAGCAGAGGACAAAAAGCATAAAACATTTTGAAAGATTATTGTGATCTTCTCCTTTACTGAGACCGAAAAAGAAAAATTATATGTTTATGCATCCGTCCGTTCATGAAATAAACTTGGTTAACTTTATTAATATAATCTTTGAGGGGCTTGTGATTTAGCTGGATAAATCTATAGAACTGTGTGGTTTTTTTCCCTCTGAGACACACATTTAATGCATCTCTCAGTATGTAACAGATACGCTGTCCGCCTGGGTAACATGCTGCTGAGTACCTGCTGGTGTTCACTGGACCCCACAGACCCGCTCCAACCCATCTCTCGGCCATGCAGGAAAATGTAGCAGGACACAAAGAGGCAGAGAGGGAGGAGAGGTGGCTGTATGAACAACCTTGACTCTCATCTAAATGTGAAGGTAAATCATTTATGGACTTCCATGGTTCATAAATTATTTGCAACAGATTTCACCAATAATTTTCAAAAACTAGGTTATATTTCCACGGAGAAGCAAGGCCCCAAGCGGCGAGAATGTACTGAACACTCTCTGTGCTGTGGTGTCCTCGGAACTCTTTAGACTTCTTATTTTACCTCGCATTCCATGACTGTGTTTGTTTAACTAATTCAGTGGTTTTCCTTCTATAGCATGCTGTAGAGCTGCATGGAGAGCTCGTTAAGCCTCTGACCAATGGGCCTTGTTCTCAGAATTTCTGATTCAGGGAGCCTCATGCATCCTGAGAATCTGAATCTGCTACCAGTGCCAAGGTGTTGGTGCTGCTGCTGATCCGCAAACCACGAGAATCACTGGTGTACTCATCCATTAATCCATTCAAAAGCATTGATTCAAATAATAGCCAACCATGTGCTGGACACCAAAACACGGAACATTGTTTCATAAGAGGCAATATCTACTGAGTGCCTTCCTAGAAGCTTTGCTATGATATGATTTCTTCTCCATATTTTTCCTTTTGGAGGGGTAGGGGGAAGGTACTGAGGATTGAAGCCAGAGCCTTTGCACTGAGCTACAACCCTAACCATTTGTTTGTTTGTTTTGAGAAAAATTCTCACAGATTTGCTAAAATACCCAGGCTGAGTTCAAACTTACTCTCCTGTCTCAGCTTCCCAGAAGCTAGAATTTTAAAGATGAAAGTAGCACAGTTTAAAGAGAGTAATCAACCTGTTCAAAATCATACACAGTTCTCATGGTTAGGATTTCAACCCTCAAAGCCAAAATGAAATACCAGAGGAAGAATGTCCCCAAGTATAGAGAACGTACCTGGGAATGAGCATAGGATTTTAACCCAGCAGGCATCCTGAGACAAGCCACAGGGGCCCCGTACATCCCAAGAAGATAAGAAAGCTTTTATCTGCAAAAGGGAGAAATTCTCGTACGTTCCTTGGTTTCAATGTCCACTGGTCTCGCTGACCAGAGGCAGGAGTTGGCATCGGTTCATCAGTGGAGCTTCTCCTGGGACAGCATCTCGTCTGAAAAGTTGTAATATTAAATTATTTAACATAAATGAAAATAAAGAAATCCGTGCATATGTCTGCAGTGTGCAAGGCATAGATAGTGTGAAGGACTTTCTGGCGGGCTTTTTTTTAATCCCTAAGATAATTCTTGCACTTCAGCAGGCAGAACCTGAGTTCGCATCCCTTGTACTTTCCCGGTTCTGAGTTTGTCTGGATGGCACAAGAATAACTTCATCTCGGTTTCAGCCATTTCTGCAGAACCCAGGAATACCGGATGCCGAGCGGTACTAGCAGACACCACGCTGTACACCCTGCTGGCCATCAAGCTGAGACGGCTGCACCGAGCAGCACTGTCAGCGCAGAGTTCAAAAAACTAATCCTCCCAGAGGCTAAATAATTTGACCAAAGTCTAGGAAGTATTTTAAAACTTAATCTGTTTCTCTAACTCCAAAGTGCTTTTCCGGCCATAAACACGATTTCTCTGTGCTGTCTTTGGATCAAAAACCATCTCATTGGCAGCTCAGGAAAACACAGTTGGAATCACTCTGAGTCATGGGATCTCTGCAAAAATCTCAGTGTGAATTATTGGTATTATCCTTGCTTATCCTATTTTCATTTTCCCATTAACCAGAGTGCATAAAGAATGGGGAGTTCTGTTCAGCATTAGCTAAAGTGTAACTCCTGTTTTAACTCATTCAAAAGCTTTCCAACAACTACCGGTTCACTTTCCAACCTATGTCAGCACTGCAGAACGCCAGGGCACCTTGACGTGGCAGGAGCTGGTGTCTGTGAGCCATCATCATCCGCAGCATCTATTCCTGAGAAATGTCAAAGTGGACGCAGAAGACACAGGTGACTGGGCTGAATGTGGGGAACTGCTGGGTTATAGTACTCGATTATATTCTCATTCAATTGTACTCTAATCATTTGCCTCTTCTGCAATGAGAATGGAAAAGGTCCCCCCAATTGAAGTTAATCAAAGGTTTCGGTTGAGTTGGGTTCAAATCTATCAAGCTCCCCCCAATTTGTGTAAGTAGCTAACAAACTTCATAAAAATAACTACTTCTCTCCTTTTATGATTTGGTAAATCGCAAAGAAAGAAGCTTGCCCTGATTCCCGTGTATGGTCATGTTACCCCGTCATCAGGGAGAGAACGGGCTGTATAATTACCATTTGAGACATGAATCATCCTTGCTCGGAGGACCCAGACCTGGCTGACTCTATAAAAGGAGCTCAGGGTCGAAGTGCAAATGTGCACCGTCTGCGTCCCCCGGGCTGCTATAATTACCGAGATACAGAGGAGATGAAGGCGCTCCCTGCGTCTGGCCTTGCCGTGCTCCTTGTCACAGCTCTGAAGTTCTCCTCTGCAGCACCCCTACTCGCAGCCACCCCCAGGACCTGGAGGAACAACTTCCACCTCGCACAGGTTTGTGAGTCTTTGCCCGACTCCCCCTCCCCCTCCTGATGTAGGAACCCTAAAAGGGTATAATGAGAAAATGAGCAAAGATGTGCGATTATTTTGAAATCATGTTGGTAAGTTTCCTGAAGTCCAGGTGACGGTAACATATAAGGTTGGTGTCTGGTGCCTTAGGTGCATGTGTTGCATGACTAATAAATCAGGATGATACAAATAATTCACACTGGAATTTTTTGTAAAGTTTACATGACTCGAAGTGATTCCCAGTGGTTTTTTTTTTTTCACTCCTTAACTTTAAAGAAATGGATTTTTAATGAGAGAATTCCCAGCATTCGTGAAAGGGGTGTGGAGACCCTTCACATGGGCTTCTGAGGAGCCTGTCAAAACCACAGCACAGCTACAGCTACAGCTCCCCTTAGGGCTTCCGCTCCGGCCTGCGCCTGCGGGCAGCTTGACCCAGCGGGGCACCGCGGACTGGCCTGCACTCGCGTGCACTGACCCGCCCCACCGCCTGCCTCCCTCATCCATTCCAGTTGGTCAGTTCTCCGGAAAGCCTGTGCCTAAACATCACCTTGACTATACACAAGGAAGCTCAGTGCGACCGCCGATGCCCAGGACAGGCGTGTGTGAAGCTGGACTTTCTCTGAGAGGAAGCCACGTGTAGTTGAGCTAAATTCAAAGCAACCCAGCACGCTGAGATCCACTGGAGAGTGTGCTTTATTGGTACCACCTAGCTTTGAGTCCTTTCTCCCCAGATGTAACCCCGCACCCGCTCATGCCACTCTGGTTCAGAAGCTGCGGAGGTCTGCGACCCCTGCTAGCAGGGCCGTGCTGTGAGGGCAGAGCAGATCTGAGGTGTTGGGAGCCCCTGGTTCTAGGCCAGTGTTCAGGCAGACGCCAGGCCGCGTGTGAACTGACAGCAGAGCTTTCTGAAATCACAAAGGAAAGCAGGCAGCGTTCACTCATTTACTGTCTACCGGGTGACATGCGGTAGAGAAACGTCTGTGCACAAAGCCCGTCCCTGCGTTCCTGGCGCGCACGTGGAGACGACAGAGTGGACCGGACGGTGGGGAAAGAGATGAACAAGTTGATCGACTTTCAGAGAGTGATGTGACGCTGGAAAACATTAACCGCGACTGGGATGGGTGGGCAGAAGTCCAGCAAGGCCTCCGGGAAGAAGCAACGTTTGTGATGGACCTGAACGGAATCAAAGAGCTGCCGGTGAAGACGTGGAGACCGCAGTGAGGCAGAAGAAACACCAAGCGCAGCAGCCCTGGCTTCGAGGACCCCGGAGTGCCGTCCCCCCGCGGGCCGGGGCTGCAGCTGAGAGCCCCCGGGAAGGGGCGTCGGAGGAGCCCAGGCAGAGCGGGCCAGTGGGTGCTGCGGGGAGGGGCGGCCTGGCTTGGGTGAGACCTTCCACCCGCTCTCTTCTCCCCAGGTCACCGGGCGAGAGAACAAACAGCTCCTTGTTCCTGGAAACACCAGACACCTCCCCTCCAAATCTCAGGGAAATAAACATCTACCCTTGGAAATACACACAGGTTCTTAGTTGGTTTGTTTAATGTTCGCTTGCATCCTTCAAGTAGATTTACCAATTCGCATAAGGACTGTGAAAGTGATGGCGTGATAAAAGGCTTATTCTCCTAAGCCAGGGTTTGTTCCAGGTTGTTTGTTTCAACAAATTAGTACAGGTGCTCCCTGATTTATGATGGAGGTACGTCCTGCTAATTTCACGGTGGTTCAAACATTGTAGGTCAAAAATGCGTTGGACACACCGAACCCAGCGCACGTCCTTGCTTAGCAGCGCAGAGCCTAGAGCTTTGCGTTGCTGACCTTGTGGCTGCGGGGCTGGCTGGGCACTGTGGCTCGCTGCTGCCGCCCAGTGGCAGAACCGTGTGGTACCGCAGTTTGCAGCTCTTGAGATCAAAATTCGATGTTTCTACTGAAAAGAAATCATTTTCCTACCTTCACAAAGTAAAAAAAAAAAAATGCATAAAGTAAACCACCATACGTCAGGGACCATCTGATAGAACCAATATAACATTATGACATTTAAAGCAAGGTTTTAAAATTGTCTCTAAAAATGAATTTTCATTTACCACATTACTATAAATCCATAAATAAAAAATAAAACTTTCCAAATGCAAATGCTTAAGTTCAGGTGTCTTTACTACCATTATTTTCTGTGATAAAGATTTCTTACTGTTATTGTCTTTAAGAATTGGTTCGTACTTTTCTTCTGATTACTGTCATCAGAAATTTTTTGATTATTTGTACTATTTTCATAAACATCTTCTTCGAGGCAGAGGTATTCCAGAATATAAGTGAGTTATAATTTATCCATTTTTATAGAAAATAGATCATTTCCATTTGAATAATATTTCTATGGGCATCTTTGTACATCAGGTTACTATAAAGGGATTTTTTTTTCAAGGTAGGTTTCCAGAAGTGGCATTAATAAATAAAAGAGAACTTAAAGTCTTTTGATACATTTAAAAGCATTTTCACATGGAGGAACCTCCCTGGGGCCTCACTCTGGTGTTATTTATAGACAAGAAAGCTAAAAACAAAGAAACTAAAAGAACTGCCCAAGGCTGTGAGTGACCCAGCCTGACCAGAGCTAGAGTTTTCCAGCCTGAAAACTAGAGTTTTCAGAGAGCATCAAAAGTTTTCACAAACCCATTTCTGTGCTTTAGACAGAAAGGAAAAGAAATGTTGAATAAACATACTCTAAACCTCAGCTTGTCTTAGAGCGCACACACACGAGCTCGGACTCCTAGTTCTCAGGAGGGATGTGTTAAAGGACACTAAGGTGCACAGGTGAGGAGGTGGGAGAGGGGCTTGCAGGGACAGACCCCTCCGGGCCTCCATTAGTGTCAAACATTGGAAAAGAAGTGGAAGAAAGAACCACTTTCTAATCAACCCTAAAACCCTGCGGCGTACACAGCGGGGGAGCGGAGAAGGGGCGGGCACAGGGGGCGAAGCTGGTGGGTCCCGAAGTCTTGGACCGGGCGCCAACCCTGAGCCAGGAGCCATCAGCGCGCAAGTGCTGAGATGCGAAGGGTGGACGCAGCTCCACGTGCACCTCTGAGCGCCTCTGGGACATCTTGACGCTGAACAATCTGCTGGAACCTTGCCGACAACTCCGGCAAGAAATTTCCCCGGATTTTTGGGTCTCGGGAGCTTGACTCTTCCAAGAAGCACGCCTTCACACTTTGCCTAAAGAAAAGGAGTTCAGGCATCACCTGGGCATCTGCTCGGAGCCCGGAACCGGGGCAGGCGCGGGGTCTGGGTCTGCAAACCGGTCGTGGTCCCCTGGAGGAGGAAGCACGCAACTGAGTGGGGGACGGTAACTAGAAATCAGAGGAAATCGGGGTGTACAATGCAATGTGATGGACGCTTTACTAGCATAAGCCCCACCTCTTGTGGGAGTAACAGGTAGGAGCGATTCCTTTGTATTCTTTTTAGGTAGGAATGTTGCTAGTTGTATTTTTACTTCATTAAAAATTTCTGTTTGAATTTCATCCACTATAACCAGCCTTCAATATTTTGAACTATAAGTCTAACATCATGTGCATTCTTTAAAAGAATTATGAAAATTATAGATTCAAGGGTCTGGGGGCTTAGCTCAGAGGCACAGTGCCTGCCTGGCAAGTGCAAGATCGTGAGTTCAATTCCTGGTACCAGAAAAAAAACAAAAAAAGAAAAGAAAATTATAGATTCAAGCAGGAAAATTATTAAAACTGTATAATCTCCTTAAATTCTCTAGTTCCATCACGAAGAGCTAAGTGCTCCATGTGACACATACTGCTGGCATGTGCGAGGCCTTGGGGTCCATCCCCAGCTCCACAAAAGCAACAACAAACTGCAGTACTTGAAAAATCAAGAGAAAAAATATAAAGAGATAATCACGCTCAGTCTATGCCTTCCAAAACACTTTCCTATTTAGGGTTAGAATTTGGCTAAAGCGGGTTGGGTCTTGCTTTCATTTAAAATTTTGAGATTTTCGTTTGAGCTTTAAACTTTTTGTTTGGAAAAACCATTTTTTTCATTGATTCTGGCTTTGTGAAATTTGCACTAATCCACTGTTTATTCTGATTACTGAGCTCCCGGTGACCTCCCCATTTACCTTTACTAGAGTTCCAGCTTTTGAATTTATATCACTTTCCTGTAATAATAGCAAAAAAGCATGTTTTTGCTTAATTTGTCACAAGCATCTTCCCTTAGCTGACCATATTTTGTGATAAAGTAATTAGCATATAGCATGTAGCACATAATCTAACAGGAGAACAAAATATTTGAAATTAAAACTGTATGAATATAGAACATCTTATCTGATCCACGGAACGTAAGCTCTGAGGCGCATAATCTGGACATCACCACACGCATTGCATTATCACAGCATCCACTTCCACAAACAGGAACCATCCCGCAAATCCACCTCACCTTGCAAAAAAGACTTGGGGTGACTGCCTACGGTGAGCTAAGCAGACTAGAAATGGGGCTGTCTCACACACGTGCCTGAGCACTGCGTCCAGGTGCCAGGGCCTGAGCGCTCCGCGCGGCCTCTCCCCCACTCCTGGTGGCTCTCATCTCACCCAGGACTTTTAAAGGACGGCCGCCAAGAAAGTGAGCGCCTCCCACAAAGTGCAGGGCGTGAGAGGACACGGTGTCCTCTCCACACAAACAAGGCCTCCCCCTTCCTGCTTTCCTCAGCGTTAACGGCCCACCACCACTGTCGAAAACTCTGAGAGGTAGGAGAAGGTAAAAACTTAGTCATCGCCTATAACTTCACCACCCAGCAGTAACCAGTAGTAATATTTATATACATTTCCCTTCAGTATTTCCTGTGGAGAGTATTTGGTTAGCTTATGAAACTGTGATTACAGTCACTATAGAGACTTCTCCTCGGCTTTTCTGAGTGTATTGCCATTACATTGAGAATATTTTCCATGCCATTAAATATTCACTTTGCAATATACAAAAAGATAAGCTTAGGAGAGTCGTACTCTTGTATCACATAAATGTATCATAATGTGCCTAACAATATCCTGTTGTAAGATATTAAGTCTCTTCCAATTTTTACTTTTATATGTTTACATAGAATCCAAGTCAACAATGCCAATAATTTATATTTAGTATATAAGAAAATAAATCATTTATGTCTAATAACTAAGCAGCTCTAGACTATGTAAGTTAGGAATTATATACATTAAAACATATATATAAATCTTTAGCTGTTCTTTGGTTATTTTCCTGAAATAAGTCAACTTCCTGGGCCCCAGGCAGGCCTCAGTCCTGCATCTGCACGGCCCTACCTCACTTACTTTTCCTTGACCCTGGCCCCGAGTCATAAAAAGGTGCTTCTGAACAACCTGTAGAGGGGTTTCCAGTGTGTACGTGCAAATTAAACCTTGTGATTTACGGATGAGTGTTTTCTGTGAGGTCTGAAGAGCCCCCTGTCGGAAACTTGTCCCATGGGAAAAGCTCATCCCCCACACACCTAACCGGTGCAGAGCCTCGGCTGACCTGAAAGGTGGTGTACAACACCTCTGAGGGTTAAAAACACACTGATTTTACATTAACATGATGAAAATAGTAAAATGCTGTTTACCAAAGCAACCAGAAGCTCTCATCTTGCAAACTGGCTAAAGATCAATGATAAATATTTGGTCCATAGAAAAAAATGTTCATATCATTGTTCTTCTTACTTTATTTTAAAGAGGGAGCAATAATGTATATTTGTTAGATTTATTATAGGATACAAACTATAAAATGCAAGTGGACAAGAGAAAAAGTAACCCAAGAGCCCCACTACTCAAAGATAATCATTAATAACTTAGGATAGGTGTAAGCTATATCTGTGCAAAATGTCTAATTTATTTCAAAAGTAAGAATATACTCTGCACACTGTTTTTATATCAAGAAGATTGTCCCGCATCTTACTTGTGCGAGAGTCCACGCCGCAGACCTGTCAGCCTGCCTCTCCATTTCAGGCATATCTTGACAAGTATTACACAAAGAGAGGAGGGCACCAGGTTGGTGAGATGGTGTCAAGAGGAGGCAATTCCATGGTGAAGAAGATTAAGGAGCTGCAGGCATTCCTTGGCCTCCAAGTCACTGGGAAGTTGGACCAGAACACGATGGACGTGATCAAGATGCCTCGCTGTGGAGTTCCTGATATGGCAAATTATCGCCTCTTCCCAGGTGAACCCAAATGGGAAAAAAATACTTTAACATACAGGTAATGAGATACAGTATTCCAGGTTCAGAGAGACCTCAATCTCTCTGTCTCTCTGTCTGTCTCTATCTCTCTCTATCTTTCTCTCTCTGTCTCTCTCTGTCTCTCTCTTTCTCTCAATATTTCCCTCTGATCTGTAGAAAGCTCATGACCCCCCATAACCATAAAAAAAAAATAAGAACTCTGTAGGTCTACTTGATAATAACAATGGATGATTCACTTGAAAATAAAATCTCAGGATTCTCTTAATGACAGGCCATTACGGACCATTTTTTCAGTTATAAACAATATATAAATATCTAAAGAAAAGTAGTCTAATGTAGGATAAATAACAGTATCGATTTTTCTTGAAAATAATCTGTTCAATAAGAAAAATAAAACTCACACATTAATAAATTATTTTTTCATTGATTCCAGAAAGCATTTACTGATGATTTATTATCCACCCTAGGCATTCAATTTTGGGGCTATAAGGTGAATAGACCTCAGGGAGCTCACGGTCCTTTAGGGAAGACAGACATGCAGAGAGACGGTTGCCACTCTGAAGGAAAAGAGGAATACAGGTCTGAGCGGAGAACCCTGATAGCACGGAGGCAGGTGGGGGGCTTCAAGTTACCAGGGATTGGTCAGTGACATCAGGAGCTGATCTGAAGGGAAAGTAGCAGTTCCGGTCCCCTACCTCCTTCCTGGGCACTCCCCGCCCTCCTTCCTCCTGTTTAGACCAACAGGCTGGCTACACCCGACAGGAGCCTCCGTCCTTGCTCCTTATGCTCTGGGTGTCGAGGGCAGAAATCCCATCCCCAGCAGCCTGGACCCATCTCTGGGGCCAGCAAGGACTGACCCAAATGCTGATCCAACTGAGGGCTGCATCACCGCAGTGCGCACGGCTCAGCCTGAGGGTGGCCTGAGGGGACGGGACGATGCCGGCAGTGCCGCCCTGCTCATTCCAGGTGGATGAGGTTTGGGAAGGAAAAGTGACCTCTGTTCACAGTTGTGCTCCAGGTCTGGCAGATGTTAGCGGTTTCCGAGTAGAACAGTAGACCAAGCACACAGGGGAGACTGGAACGCCTGTCCTGTTGGGCCACAGGTGTCCAACCAGTGCCCCGGAACCACTGTGCACAGGGCAGGGAGGAGACGAGGGCAGGAAATGAGGCTGAGGAGGCGGCCGGAAGGACACGACCTTAGGGAGTTTGGACTTTGCCTGCACACAGCGGAATCTCAGGCCCGCTCAGAGTCAGACTGTATCGTTAGGACGAGCACCTCACGACAACATGTGGGGATGAGAAAGGGTTGGGCTCTTTGCACTCGTCTAAGCATTGGTGTGCTGTATCTGGAGCTTCACCACTCACAGGAGCCAGTCTCTAAAATGTCAACCATGTTGGAGCCAGTTGTTGAATTTCTATGACTGCTGGGAGCTGGTTGCTAGGATAGGCCATTATTAAATTATGTACATTTACAAATAAATTATACTTCAAAGCAAAAGTAATCAAAGCATATCACTTTCTCCTTTGCCACATTTTACCTGTATCATTACGTAGATTACCTATATTCGCACCTCTGTGTGCATCAGCCTTATCTATATGGTGGAGATGCCACACGGAGGTGCGTGCCTGCTGACCTTTCTCAAGGCTGTGGTCAAGGGTGACAAGTCCGTAGCTTGAAATTAGCCCTAGTGAGAATATTTACAACGCGGAAATCAGAAAACCATACCAATCAGGAGAACTGTCCCCAGCAGAACTGGCAAATCGTTGTAGTACTCGTATGAGCAACCAGCCTGGAAGCCAAAGCACTTGGTCTTAACCATTTGTTACCTGCTGTGCACTTGTAAAGCCATAAGGTGGCGCTCTGAACAAAAGAATCTAAGAGCTAGGAAGGAGAAAATACCCCACGAATTGAACGGAAGTCATTCAGGAATGTCAAACTTGAGACAAGAAAAATGTATGTAAGTCCATGGAGTCTTTGCATAGTTCTCATAAACTGTGCCCTAGAATTTTAGGCCTGAATATAGCAACAAGGACCTTGGTTCAAGGTAACACAGCTTTTGGAGAAGCATAACGTTTTGCAGTCAGTTGAGCAACCCCAAATCCCTCTGCACTCCCATGCTGTCCGTCTACTAACGGCTCCCAAACAAGTCCCTTATCCCCTCCCCACCAAAAAAGACACTACAGGCCTCCTCAGTGGTCTATCTGCATAGCTCATGGGTTTCAGAATAACTTCACAAAACCCAGACGACTTTAAAAGAAAAAATAGCACCGTGCTTACATGCATAAGCTTTGAAGTCGGACAGAGATGGACTCAAATCCTGACTAATCACAACTCTGTATGATAAAGACAGTGATTCCCTACTTCTGGGGTGTTTGAGACCTGCGTAACATAACATGTTCCAACTATTTAGAGCCACGCTCAGCACAGAATGTGTCTTCAAAGAATATTAGCAATGATTACCACTGCATTTTTCAACCAACAGACCTCGGGTCAGAATTCTGTCTGCTTTCTCTGCTTTTTCTGGTGCTGTCCTATTCTCCACTGTATCTTTTCCAGCTCAACATGCATAATCGGCTCAAAGGAGTGGCTGACTCATCTATAATGTGAAGAAGTTTCACACTACTAACTATGCAAAGCAGTTAAGTCACAGGTTTGTATTGCAAAGTAGAGTAAACGTATCTGGGAAGCATTAAGTAATCCCCTTAAGGGTCTTCCTGATCTCCCCCTTTAACTCTACAGCGGTCTCCTTTTGGGCCCAACTCCAGGGTTAAAGAGATCCTTCTTCCTTCTCTTCCATCCTGAACTGAGCTGTTTACCATCCTCTCTGCGGGACGTGGTCCTTCTTTTTCGGACCTGGGCATTGCCACTGTTGGTTCCCGGTTGCAATTGTGGCTTCTGCATCAGAATGACTTAGAATGCATGCTAAAATGCGTGTTTCTGCACTTTTCACAACTCCCCAGGCAGTGATCACAGGTCCTGAGGTCTGAAGGCCCCTGAGCAGTCCCTAAACAGCTAGCTTTTAATTTTTAATCTATCAAGCATTTCTCGAACATTTGCTGCATGCAAGGATGGAGTAGGAGCTGGAGAAAGAGAGAAAGTAGGCTTGGGTCTGCTCCCCAAGCCCGCTCCTGAAGACTGTGTTTCTCATTTACACCGTTATTGCAGCCCAGGCCAAGGACCCTGGGGGAACCCCCTCCCTTCTTGGCACGCTACCAGGAGCCCCAGGAGAATCACCACCTCTGCTTCCACCCCCATACATCCAAAAAGCACTGTATCTTTCTGCCTTCAAATGTCACGGTCACCCCGGAACTTGCTGCAGTGCTCAATCCTCTCTCAGCTCCAGCGAGCGTGCTTTCCCACACTAGCACTTCCTCTTTCTCTCAGAACACACCACGTTCCCCAACAGGTCTGGGGGAAACTTGCTAGCCCTCATATGAGAATTTGTAAAACCTCAAAAGTACACATTTATATTTTTTAATAATTGAAAACTTCCAGTCCCTTTTGAGGAAAAAGAGGGCTTCTCGATTAAAGCCATTTTAGGAAGATAAACTTCTTACCAACTGTAACATTTCCCAAGTACCACCCTTTGAAATTAGTGGCAGCGCAGTAACAAAGAAAGCCAGGCTTTCTTAGTACCGGATTCTCTCAACGGTCTCTCGTTTCTCTTCTTAATTTGTCTTATTGCTGAACATGCAGCTACATGTATGAAAAAAGTAGAGATCATTTGGAAGGAAGGAAGTCTAAATTACAGGTTTATGCTCAGTCTTTTGGTTTTTACTTTTTATCTTTTGTGATACAGTGTTTGCCTTCTTCATTTAGGAACACGTACTGGAAAGAAAACGTGTTTCTCTTCTTTTCGCAGAATATCCAAATACGCCGCGTCCATGCGCCCCGCCGAGGTGGACAGAGCGATCGAGATGGCTCTGCGGGCCTGGAGTAGCGCTGTCCCCCTGAACTTCGTGAGAGTGAACTCAGGAGAAGCAGATATTATGGTATCTTTTGAAACCGGAGGTACTGGTGCTTCTTAGGCTCTGTCTACTAAAGCAAAGCACTGTCCCCATCCTGTTCCTTCCGCACCTTTCATCCAAGCGGTCAGCACAGCCCTCCCTCACTCAGTGCTGGGGGCGCAGGGGTAAGACCTTGGCCAGTTCGTGATCTTCATCGGGCCTCGAAACGCAAGGAGAGGAGTTCTTACAACTTCTAGTCAGCATCGTACTCGCTAGGACTGACTCACCGTAACAAGCTTTCAGTATGGTTTTGTCACATCTGGGGCCAAATTCTGTCGGGTTTCACTGACCCCATGGGCTGGGAGGCCACCTGAGCTCGGCCATTCCTAGCACCATTTCCCTCTTTCACACTAGCCAGGAGTCCCTGACCTTGGGTCCTCACTGGGGGAAATAAATTCCACAGAGACGCCGCTGCAGCTCTTCCCCTGTAGAAAAGTGGCCACCTCTCGGGGGTGCGTGGCAGTTCGATTGCGACTTGCGCCCTCTCCCAGCCCCTCACTGGTCCTGGAAGGAAGACAGCGCAGGTTCGCACAGGGAATGGTGCGGAGCTCTGAGCCCTTTTCAGAGAAACGGCAGGTGGGAAGTAGGTCAGGGAGGCCCAAGCGGCCCGTGGGGTCCCCGCTCTCCGCAGCTTCCGAACGGTTATGTTAAATGAGAACTGCTGCCTCTCCCACTCCACAATGTTTCTAAGAGTCCCTGAAACTTCAGGTACCGACCTTAACTTTAATGATGTCACTGTGGGAAAACGTCCTGAGGAGCTAGGAGAGAGAGCAAGCAAGTCTTGAGTCCAAGACCTTTAGAAATTGCCCTAATGTAACCTAGCCCTTGAAGTTTCTGTTCCTTTCTGGGACAAAGGCCACTTGGTAAAGGGGCAGGAGAGTGTGACTCGGGGCAGCTGTGGAGGACGTGGAATTACTGCGTGGCTCGCTCTTGATTTTTCAGGGTGTGCCCTGTCCCCTAACACAAAGGCCACTGGGCAGCCTGATTGAACTGCACTGGACTCAGACCTGAGACATAGTGTACCTGAACTTTGTTTTGTTTAATTTTCATAAAACTGGGTGTCCTCCCTAACACTCCGAAAAATTGTGAAATGTAGCCTGTACTACATCACTCACTTTGTCCTTCTTCCTTTCTGTTTATGAGCTGTTAATTAAAATACAGATAGTAAAACAAAAATACCGCAGTACCTAGGATATAAATGCCTTTGTTTGCAAACAGTTCGCAAAATTTTGTTTTTGTCTGCAAACTCTGCACCAGGCGGCCACCTTTCCCACACAAGCACAAATGTGGCCAACTTTTCCAAATCATAGAATAAATTAAGTTTGTGAACTGAGGTACCACTGTATGTAAAATTTTAGAAGTTAAGGTTTTCCTTTATTACTTGCGTAAGTTTTATACATGTGGGCATACCAAAGTTACAGAGATTGTTTTCTTTTTGACACTTCCTTGAATTGAATTATATTGGGTGATAGAACCACAAACCGCAGGCTTGTTGGGTTTACTACTGCTGTATTCTGAGAGCCCGCCCTGCCAGCGGGTTCACACTCCAGTCAGTGGACCAGTTACCGTCAAAAGTCCATCTGTTCTTTCTTCCTTTCTCATTTTGTAATGCACGGCAGATCTATAGTCCACAGTGCGCTATGCGTCCTGGTAAAACCAATAACAATGCTTTCTAATTTTAATGCTGTCAATGAAGTAGAAGATAGTCCTTCTTATTTCTCAATGGGCATTCACTGATAAGTGAAACTTCTTACTATAGAAAACACTAATACCCAAAGTAAACTCAAGCATCAACACTATTCACAGTGTCCATTCCCTGTGCCTCTGAAAGGTCAGGAGCTGACCGTGTCTGCGTTTCCTGTCATGCAGATCACGGGGACTCCTACCCATTTGATGGGCCTCGCGGGACGCTAGCCCATGCGTTTGCACCTGGAGAAGGCCTGGGAGGAGACACGCATTTCGACAATGCCGAGAAGTGGACTTTGGGGATGAATGGTATATATGCACAATTCACCATAACCTGGAAAATATTGTACCTTCTTCTGGGCCTCCATCATGGAACCTTGAGGTTCAACGTCCCAAGCCACCCTTTAACTAGGGAGGCTGGCTAGGAAAAACAAGTAAGCCAAAAATCCACAGGGGAACACACCATAAGGGAAAAGACCCACCCAAGATTATACTGTAGGCTTGTCTCATGATCTCTGTTTCATAACATATGATCTCAAGAACTGGCCTTCCCCTCCTCAACACATAGCTCCCTTTTTGTCAATTACGTAGCAGTCATTGTTTCTTGCTAGTGTTGGCAAAAAGCTTCGAATCAGTATATCCTGAGGAACAGCATGGGGATGGGAATGAAGATTCCAGAATAACATGCAGGTCACTGGAAATCCGCAGTGTGAAACGTGAGCATGAGAAGGAGTAGGCTGTGATAGCAGAACACCATACAGGCGCTGGTGGTCCAAATTTATGGACTACTGCAGATTTCATTGGCCCCATTAGCTCCAAGACCCTCCTCTAGCAAGCTGTCAAGCATCTCCCCCAACCCCAACAGGGGGAAAAGAAAGAGACTGAGGTCAGCAAAACTAAGCGTCAGAATATCCTGACAAACTGTGAAGAGTCTAGATGATGTGGACATAAATTCTCCTGTACAGACAGATGATAGAGAAAACAAAAACCTGTGCTGATGCTGCCATTCTGTCTCATACTGTTCAGGTTTCAATCTCTTTACCGTTGCTGCTCATGAGTTTGGCCACGCCCTGGGTCTGGCCCATTCCACAGACCCTTCGGCACTGATGTACCCAACGTATAAGTACAAGAATCCCTATGGGTTCCGCCTTCCTAAGGATGATGTGAAAGGGATCCAGGCGTTGTACGGTATGACAGCTATACTTCTTTGACCCCCTCACCCTGAAAGTGACAGATTTTCAGTCTCCAACTGAAAGAAGGGTCATTTTTCCAGGAGTTACCTGCATAGGTAAAGATTACACTATAGACCTCAGCCCCGTTGAGGTCTTTTTGTGAAGAGCTTATTTACCAGTTATGGATTTTGCTTTCTTTTTTCTTTTCTAATATGTGCAACTAAATTTTGCATCTTTCCTCCAAAACATTCTGGCCTTGACTGGACATAGAACGTTCATCATTTGTTTTTCCAGTAGGTCAAAAGTTACACAATGGAAGAACATGGATATATTTTATAGTTCATATACTATACCGTGTTTACCCATTTGCAGATAAGTGCCCTTAGCTTCCCAGAAATAGCCTTGGTGATAATAATAACTCACCACTCAGGTGTGCGTATAATCTGTACTTCATGGACCGTGATCCCGTGCATCCTCCCCTGCCACCCTTGTGACAAGGTTGTAGTGTGTGAAGTGTTCTCCTCATTCGATAACTGAGAGAACTGAGGGTCAAAGGCAGTTGAGTATGCTAGGATATTCGCATTATCTCAAGTGTTAACATTCTTCCAAAGATAAGAAAGGATTATTAGAAATTCTATATCCACTTTTCCTAACAGGCAAAACAGTACATAAGAAGGGATCTAGAGATATCCTTGTATGTTGACAGTTTCTCTTTAATGAACAAGAAGGCAAAACAAATGTGGGGGACTTCCCCTCAGGCCTGGAAGACCAGGTTCTTCAGCCTCTGCTTGTCAGAACCTCTCCCCACCCTCTCAGCCTCATGGGCCTGGAGAGCCACATCTCCCAGTGGCTTCCTGCCTATTTGCAGGCCAACCAGCTAAGAGGTGCACACATCTGCAGACAGATGTTGCCCAAGGCACAGAAGACAGAAGCCTGTAGCGAGCTCCCATTTCCAGAGAGGTTAGATGCCACTTCTGCTGCACCCTAAGGGACAGGGTAATGCTGTGAATGTGGCAACTCTACAAACTCCTCAGAGCACCCATAGCAGAACTCAAAGTGAACAATTCTCATGGGCCACCAAGAAGGACTAGCGCATACACTTGTCTGATGCCAGCACCACCAGACCAGGAGCCAAAGCACATGCTTGACATGGTCATTTACACACGAGGAAGAGAAAGGTAAAAATACGGCTTTGTGTTGCCAGGGTGCAGAAACATCCCCCGCTGCTGACCGCCTTCCACTCCCGGTCCTCACCGCAGTTCCAGTTTCCCATCTCCTTCCACAGCCTCACCTCCGACCCTCATCCCATTGCTGACCCCGGGCCCCGGTCTCAATCTATCTCTGCGCCTCATCAGGCCCTGGACTCCTCCCCTTCCCTCATTCCTTCCCTGATTCTCACCTCGGGCTGCCACAAGCTTCACCAAGGAGCTAGGGTCTTCCAAAGACACCGGTGAAGGCAGGCCCAGCTCCTTCTACAGCCGGCAGAGATGCAGGGGAGATGCGAACACCAGCAGCTCCCACGAGGAATGGGCCCCAGCTTCGCAAGCAGATCCACCAGAAGACAACTTTAAACCGCAAACGTCCTGCGCACTGCAGCTCCACTCAGTCTCTCCTCAGGGCCTCAGAAAAGCGTTCAGCAGAGCGCAGGACGCCAAAGACTGTAGGGAAAAAGTAAGGAAGTGCACACGAAAGTTCAATCTTTGTGATAAAAATAACTTCGTTACAAAGAAATGCTCAGGGACAAATTTTAATTACAGTACATTTCTAATTCAGAGAACCTGTAGCTACCAAGGAAGGCAGTAGCGACAATAGATTAGCAACAGTTCTTTAAACATTTACTGTGTTCCAAGCTTTACAGACATTATTTAATTCTTGCAACACTCTTTGGAAGTAAATCCTGTGATTACTATCTTCATTCTACAGCTGAGGAAGCTTCTCATGAAGCTGAGACTTTAAAAAGTTAATATATTTGCCTCAAATCACGCAACTCAGCTCTTAGGGAAGCCAAGACATGTCATTGACGGCCATGTCTTTACGACATCACACACAGAGTGAATGTGTATGAACGTCTCCAGAGCAGAAGTGTACAAACTCTAAACTCCTGGTATGATTTTGACCAAGAGATTTTGAATCCTAGGACCCCGGAAACCGTTCCTGGGAAAACCTACCATTCCCCACATTCCTCCCCACAAGCCGTCCTTCCCTGATGTCTGCGACGCCAGCTCATCCTTTGATGCTGTGACGATGCTAGGAAAGGAACTTCTGCTCTTCAAGGATCGGTAAGCCTCGAGCATGCCCGCAGCTACTGTCAGGCCTCAGCTCAGTCCAGAAGACCATCACCCCAGAGGTCCTTGTTGCTGCCATGTCTGAAGATCACGCAGAAATGGTGTCTTTAGAGGCAGTAGTGTGGGCAGGCTTCGGAGTCTTTGGGAAGGTGTAGAACTTCCAAAACTAGTGTTTGTGGAACACCTAGTATGGCCTCGGTGCTGTGCTAGGTTCTTTCCACACATGTACAGTATTTCTTCTAACCCTTTTCACTGTAGAGATTAGAATCTCCAATTTACAGAGAAAGAAAGTAGCTCAAAGAGAACAAGCATATTTCCCAATCTGACAGTTAAGTGGCTGAGCTAGGATAGCAAATCAAAGTTATGTGATATCTGCTTTGTTTACTACTATGTGGTTAGTAAGAGCACTTAGTAAGTGCTCAATAAATATTTGATGGATGAATGCTGGCTGAACAGTTGAGCATATAGGAGGATGGATGGATGGACAGGTGGAAAGATGCATGGATGGATGGATGGATGGATGGATGGGTGGATGGGTGGATGGAAAGATGGATGTATGGAGGGAGGGATAGATGGAAAGATGCATGGATGGATGGATGGATGGATGGATGGATGGATGGATGGATGGAGAGGTGGAAGGATGAATGGATGGATGGATGGGTGGATGGGTGGATGGGTGGATGGATGAGTGGATGGAAAGATGGATGGATGGAATGATGGATGGATGGAGAGGTGGAAGGATGGATGGATGGATGGATGGATGGATGGAGAGGTGGAAGGATGGATAAATGGATGGATGGATGGATGGATGGATGGAGAGGTGGAAGGATGGATAGACGGATGGATGGATGGATGGATGGTTGGATGGAAGGATGGATAGACGGATGGATGGTTTGTTGGATGGCAAGATGGAAAGGTGGAAGGATGGATGGTCAGATGGATAGGTAAGTGAGTGGATGATTCTAAGGTAAGAACTCTTACTAACCTCCTCCTTTTCCCCCCTCTCAGCTTTCCCCCTGTCAGCTATCAGCATAGAGAAAACAGGTCCCTTCTCCCCACACTCTAGGTTTTCAGGGAGTCTGGCTGTTGTCTCCATGGCACTGGGAACTATAATCACTTCTTAGGAGAAAAAGAAAAACAGCAACTCTCACCTATATTTCTCCCTTTACTGGAGACAAAGTTCAACCACACCAGAACGAACAGAGAAGCTCAGGAATATGTGTATATGACATTTTTCCTTTCACTGGAAAAGTGTTCACTGAGCCTGTATTGGGTACCAAGCACTCTCACAGTATCCACAGACATAAAAGTGGATTGATACCCACTTTACCTTTGCATGCCTCATGACTGCATGAGAGAGGACCCTCAAGAAGCACTGCACAACAGTGTGACACACACTACGTAAGGTAGAGCTGTGAGATTAAAACAGAGAGCAAGCACCTGGGGACATCCAGCGAAGCCTTACAAAGGAGATGCTGTCAGAAAATCTCACATTTCTTTTGAAAATAGATCTTTTAGCTATTATTACCAGAATATTTGTGTTCATTCAAAAAAAGAGAGAGTAACAAAATATTCAAAAGAAATCATAATTTGCACAGAATCTTACACCCAAAATACTTGAGCTGCCATGACAGAATACCCGAGACTGGGTAGCTTAGAGAGAAATTTCTCACTCCTCTGGAAATCCAAGGTCCATGGCCTTACAAGATAGGTTTCACTCTGAGACCTTTTCCTTTGGTTTCCTGTAGGCAGCTAACTTCTCACTACTCTCACGTGACTTCTTTTAAGCACAGAGAGAGGGGGGAGAGAAAGCAAATCTGCTTTCCAGCGTCTCTTTTACAAGGGCACTAAATTCCATCACTAGCGCCTCGCCTTCATTAGTTCATTTAAGCCTAATTATCTCCCCAAAGCCCATCTCTACATACCATCAAAATGTGAGTCAGAGCTTCAACATATGAACTGGGGGGATGCAGACATTCAGTCCATAGCACAGACTGATGGAGGGGGTGCTGTTGTACCCCCTCCAGGCCTTTTCTCTGAATCGAGAGATAGGTAATGTAAACAACAGGCAACGACAAGGATTTCAAACAGAGAGATTTCACCAGTTTCATTGATTTATAAAATTTTTTCACTCAACAATATTTTATTTTAAATAAATTTTAATTTTTTATACATTATACATTATTGCAATGAGTAAATACAGTATCACTTTTTTAACCAATCTCATATTTATGAACATCTATATGGTTTCCAATTTTTAAAAGTTAGGGTCATCGTAAGCTAAATCTTTAAGAACAGATAGGTATTTAGTTTTCAAAGGCAAATTAGAGCAGAGTTCAGGAGCTCAGGCTTTCTTCTCAGACGAAGTGGGCTTGAATCCCGGCCCCTCTTAGCAAGGAGGCGGCCTTGGACAAGCAGCATTAGAGACACATGGAAGTGTGCAGTAAATGGCAGCTGCTTGTTTGAGGAGTGGGAATTAAAAATATATATACTGGGGGCTGGGGATTTAGCTCAGCGGCACAGGTCGTGAGTTTGATTCCTGGTACCGGAAAAAATATATATATATATATACTGTACCATGGTAGCTTAGAGACCAGTTAGGGCATTTAGAGAACCCAACTGATTTCTTATTATTATTTATACTTACTGATTTTTTTAATTTTTAAGACTTATTAGCATTGATGTCATTTCTATTGACTATTCTTGTGAGCCTACAATAACAGACAGAAAGTCTCTCTAAAGAAATAGCAAGCTTATTCAGGAGTAAGAAGGGAGCTGTAATCCAGGACATTCTTGCTGTGGCAAATCACAAGGGCACCGGAGGAGGTAAGAGCAGGAGGATGAAGATTTCTGAAACAAAGCTGGTTAGTCACGGAGGCTCGTTGCCAACGCCAGAGATTGCTCATTCATAGCACTGGCTGTTGCTGGGGAGATGTCTTCATAGAAGCAACTTGCCTGGAATGCGTTTGCGCTGTCAGAGAAGGCTTGAAGTAGTTCTTAGCTCTGACACGCAAGCATGAGGTCCCCTCCCTTGTGAGCTCCAGGCTCCGCTTTGGTTTGCATCTAACGTGAGTGACTACGTCTTGGTATTAGCAGCTTTTACTTTTCTGAAAATAAACCAAGCAGAATTGATAGCCAATGGCCCAAGGGAGGCAAGTAAGGGGCAGGACAGGAGGCGCTTGGGACACAAGGCTAAGAAGCACTAGCTTCGCCAGAAGATGACATTGTCAGATGCTGAGGCCACACGCAGCACTTGCTCAGCAATAAAGAAATGCACTAAGCATCACGCCGAGAGTAGGTTATTCCTTGGGTGAATATCAGTGGTTGCAGTAGAGACAAGGCAGTGAGTTCAAAGATTTGTCACAATTTCATTCAATCATAGCCCTTTAAGAGGCAAAACCAAGCAAACACCTATCAAACAATAACATTTAGCCATTGCTAATGATTATTTGAAGGTGAGATGTCTTTTAACATGGTCTTGACTATGAATATTGAAGTGAGAGAGGAATAGAAAAGACGCAGCTATAAGAGGCAGCCAGAAATGAGTGACGGGGGGGGGGGCACTGCAGAGGAGGAGGTGGCTGGCTAAGAGTGTGAGGAGCTACTGTGTTAGGGCAGATAACTCCAAAGAGCTGTGAAGAGGGACAGGAGGACAGTGGTCAGCACTGGATTTGCCTCTAATTCACCGCAGACAGTAAAATGAGGGTGTTGTCTGATAATAACAGTGACTCAGTGTGTTTGGTACCTGTTACACGAAACACCTTGTTATCAATGCTGGAAGTACCCCTGTGCATTAGACAGTATTCTCTCTTTGTAAGGTGCAGAAAAAAGAAGCACCTGTCGGGAGCACATGGTGAGGTTTGGAGCCAGGGTCCACATCTATGCTGTCACAGCCCAGAGCCCGCGCTCCTAACTCCCCTGCCCTGTAACTTCCCGAGGTGCCGTCCAGAGCTGGAATTCCAGGGCTCTACAGCTCTGTCCCCTCCTGGCTGCCAGCAAAAGTCCCAGCCTGGACAGAGAACAAAGAATCCTTTCAAGGCACAGTTACAATGGCAACCAAGGAGCCTCGATTGTGAAAGCGCTCGTGTCTGCTCTCTCCCACTCTTCAGCCTGGAATTCCCCGTCACCAACAGCATCTGTGGATGGGGCATTTCAAGCTGTGAGTTAACACTAACGCAGTTTGTGTCCAAAGCAAGATGGGGCGTGGCGCCTTTTGGAGTCCCCCTGAGGTTGTTAAACACTCTGGACAGTGCGTATCGGCACATTCAAACGCGCTAGGGGAGAGAAGAGAGAAAGGACTGGGTTTGCAACCATCCAAAAATTATACTTGCATCCTTCATCCTCGCTGGGGTTTTACCCAATACACTTTTAAGGATAAAGTCAGGAATATCACAATCACATACAGATTTTAAAAGAATGAAAGATTTTACAAATGGAGCAAGCATAATATTTGATCTTGTCCAAACCCTACCTTTTAAAGATAGGGCGACTAGACCCAGTCTCTGGATGCTGGGGAACATCCGCTACAGGCCAGGTCTTCTGACTCCTAGCTAGAGTTTATCTTATCACCAACACGGACCATTGATGGCTGTGAAACAAACGGCTAAGCACTGAGTTTTAACTTGAATGATGTACGCTTTTTGACTGTCACACAGTTGAATTAGTAGGAAAAGCATTTTCATGCTGTCCTCAGACTCTGCTGGCAAACTGGACCACCACCAACATGAAGTATTATTTTCCTCAAAGTTTATTTTATAAAAATAAGTGCATTATTGTTACATTTTAAAAGATAGTATAGATCTTCTAATGCAAAGAAAAAGCATGTCTAAGGGTTATGCAGATAGGAATGGAAGAGAAGGATAAGGGTAAGAGGCATTCTGGACCACTCACAAGCAGAAGCAGGACACTCATTTGGCCAGAACAATGGAAAAGAAGAGTCAAAGAAGGAAACAGCCGCATGGCTGAGAGAATTATAGTAGCATTATTTATATCAG